TGACCTGCACTGCGGACACCCTTGACCTGCACTATGGACACCCTGACCTGCACTGCGGTCCTCCTGACCTGCACTATGGACACCCTGACCAGCACCATGGACACCCTGACCTGTGCTGCAGACACCAGGACTGCGGGGCTCCGCTGGCCCTGCCCCTTCACCATGGCTCTTTCTGTGGCTGCCCAGCAAGCCAGCCCCCAGCGCAGGCCCTTTTCTGCGTGTTGATAGCTTGATTGCTTCTCTTGTGACCACAGTGATAAATATTCATGCTGGAGCACTTAGAAAATAGCTAGCGACACTCCTAGGCACACACGTGCACACAGACCTATGCGCACACATCATCTCTTGCTCTGTCACTTGAAGATAATGACAGTTGCAAACACTGTGATCTGTATTCATCTGATTTCTGTGTATAAATATGTGTGTGTGAGTTACTTTTTATAAAACCAATTCCAGGTGATCTGTGCCTGTGCCTCTGTCCTTTGTTTCTGAGTAGGTAAAAGCAGAGAGAGCCACAATGCCACAGCCCAGGTAGCATTCCCGACAGCTCTGGTCTGTGTCTGAGTCAGATGTGGCAGGTTGGGCAGGGCGCCCCAACTGTGAGAGACAGATGCTGACAGACTGAGTGAATCCAGCACTTGACGGTAGCCTCTGTCTGCCTCGAAGTGCCCAGGAGATAAGACGGAATTGGTAGCACACAAAATCCCAGGCAGCCTCTGGCAGCGAGACCCGGCCTGTCTTTATCACCAGGACTGCTTCCAGGGAAGTCTGTGGAGAGGTCCCTGCAGGGCAGGGTCATTTCGGAACGGGACAGGGTGAGGGTGCTAAGTGAGCCTTGCAGGCTGTGCGTCGGCCGCCGTGGGGAGGTTGCTTTCGTGGCCCAGAGGCTCCCTTGAACTTGGCTCTCGGGCTTTGTGCTGTGCTATGCACTCTCTGTCTGCAGCTGGTGCCAGGCACAGCAGGGAAAGCAGTAGCCGAGCGTGGTCCTGGGTGGGAGGCCGGCAGGGCAGCGCGTGTTTTCCGGGGACAGGAGGGGTCTGCCTGGAAAACTAGCTGTAAAATTTAAGCTGCTTCTTCTTCTTCTTCTTCTTCTTCTTCTTCTTCTTCTTCTTCTTCTTCTTCTTCTTCTTCTTCTTCTTCTTCTTCTTCTTCTTCTTCTTAAATTATTGATTTAAAGCCAAAGAGAAAATAAACAACAGCAGTACATCAGCAAGCAGTACAATTTGGTTGTCATCTAAACTGTGCTCTTTGCAGACGCTTCAGTTTTATTAACATGTATTCATTAGTTACCGAGTCATTTATGTAAAGTATCATTAAGTTACATTGTAACCTAAGGATCACATTTCAAAACTGTTAGGTAAGCATACAACTACTGCACAGCTAGGCTTTTCCGCCCACTTTGCACTGTATTTATTGTCTTATATTTCAGTTTTGTTTTCTTGTTTAATAGCACGATTATAGATATGCAAGAGACTCAATGGAAGCAGATTTCCACGGTGTCTCTTTCCAAGCCATTGTTAGTGTGTATATTCATTTATTTTTACAGTACTGGGAATTAAACTCAGGACCTTCACTCTGAGCTACATCCCGGCCTTCTTCTGTATTTTTCATTTTGGACAGGATCTTGCTAAATCACTAGGTCTTACAGGCTGGGCTTGAACTTCAGGTACCCCTCCTGCCTCAGCCTCCCAGAGTGCTGGGATCACAGGTATATACCACCACATCTGGGTTGTTAGGATATTGTCATTCATGATTGCTCTTGGGCTCGGCGTCCCCAACCCTCAGAGCCAACTCCTGCTCCTTCTCTGATCCCAACCATTGCCCTTGCCTGCCTGGCCTCCACCCTGTCACCCACGTGCCAGCCTTGTGGGCACCGGCTGTGGCTCCGCCTCCTCACTTGGACTGTGTCCTCCTGGATCGCCGTGTAACTCGTTCTTCATAACACCTGTCTACTCAGTGTCCCTCCCTGGGGACCTGTCCCTGACCGTGCCACCTGCCCCCAAGCAGCCTGCCTTCTCACCAGCGCCCGATCCTGCCCATTGGTCCATAGCACCTCGTGCCCACCATGCAACTCACAGAAATGTACAAAACCCTATTTATGGTCGTCCTCTGTTGCCCACTGCAGCTGAATATTGAGGTCGGGCCTGTGTCTTCTTCTGCATGACTGTAACTCCAGGGCCAGGACACATATCCGTTCCATGTGGGAGCTCTGCAGATGCCCGGGCTGGGGACATCAGGCCTCGGAGGCCTCTCTGGTGCCATCCAGCAGCAGCTGTGAGCCTCATGCTCCAGGGGCAGCAAGGCTCTGGCGTTTTCTGGCTTCACTGCAGGGGGCTCCCAGCATGACCTGGGGGGACTGGGGTGGGGGCCTGGGGTGGGGGACTGCAGCAGGTCCTCCTGTCATTCTGGTGTTAAACCCACAGCAGAGCACCAAGCAGCAGAGTGCAAGAGGAAGAGAGGGCAGAGAAAGTGATCAGCGGCCAGGTAGACGACTGGCCAGTCACCCCAAGGCTCCCTTGAATTGCTGCCAATGTCCTGCTCGTATATATCCTGGGTGGTGCATGTTTCCAGGGATCTCGGTATTGACCGAGAGTTTACATTTTCTCCTCTTTTCTTTCTTGGTTCTTGTGTAGTTTGTGTAAATAAGGCAGTCTCACAGTGTAAATGTCCTTTTTATGTTTTTCAAAGCCCTTCTTTATCCTTTTTTAAAAATCCTCACCTGGAAGTTCTCACCACCCTGGTTTTACAGATGAGGACGTCGGACTCTGAGTGCTTAGACCCACTGGCCCACGGCAGAAGGGTGTGCAGGGTGACAACACGCCCGACGGGGGGCGGTGTGTGCAGCATAAGGCCCCCCATTCTGCTCACTGCCCATGCACAGGTCCCCACAGGAAGTCGCTTCCCTGACTCTCACGCTGCTCAGCTCTGAAATGAAGGTGTGGGCAGGGGCCCCATGCCCTCGGGGGTGCCAACAGCTCCTCAGGTCCCGCCCAGCGCACTGGTGCTGTCTTGGCAACCTGGTGTTAGAACCGGGGCAGCCACGTCCGGGGGCCTCAGGGGCCTTGCTCTGCCACCCGGGCTGTGTGCAGCCTGTGGCCCTGGTGCTCTCCTCTGAGAGGCATCCCAGTTTGGCTCCGGAGGCCCCTCCCACCTGACTTTGCTTGTCTGAGAGGCAACTGCATGCCCTGAAGTCACTTAAACCTCACTTCCTCTCAGTCCAGTGACGAACAAACACAGTCCAGGGACGAACAAATACAGTCCGGGGGAAATGAAGAAGATGGGAATTACCAGGTGTCGGCAAAGGTCTGGAGCAGTCAGGACGCCCACCATCGCCTCTGGGATGGCCGGTGTTCCAGCTTTTAAAGCCCGTGGAGTGGTATTTACCAAGACACACACACCTGAACACGCATGCACACCCCCCCCCCCACACCCACGGCCCCATCAACTCCACTTTAACGTACCGGTGTGCGTGATATAACGGTGTCTGGCTTCCCTGCATGCCATGGTGAAGACATTAAGAACATGCGATGCCTCATGCCCCAAACACAAACGTCTCCAGCTCCTACCTGCAGCGCAAGGTCTGAGTACATTCGGTGCGGTGTGCAGCTGAACCCAGCGGAGAGGGAGACCCTGTGGGCTTGGCGAATGTGAGGGCTCTCGGGCACATAACCTTGTAGGGAGCAAGCCCAGCACAGACGCGGCTATGACATGTATGACCAGCCAAGTCGGCCTGTGCCGTACTGGAAAATCATAGCTGAGTCACCCCGCACTGAGCTTGTAGCCTGGGCCTCTGGGCTGCTTGGAGCTTCCCGTTTCTTCACCTGTGCAGGTGACTGGGCCGTGATATCACAGTGAAACGTTAGGGAATGTTTGCCCTACTGAATCAGAGCTTTCCGTTGCTCCTGGTGGAAGACTGCTCCCCATGGTGGCCGGGCCTGCTGGGTGCCTGCACTTTCCATGGAGGACAGAAGTGCTGTCCCCAGGAGTCTTACCACCTGGCTTGGAGTGGGTGGTGGGCCTTAAGGGCCTGGGGAGTGAAGGCCAGTGCTGCTCCCAGGCCCCACCCCACGAGTGACTCCAGGTCCTCTCTGGAGGAATCTGCCCACAGCCAGTGGAGCATTTGGAGTGGCTGAAATTGGAAAGTAATTATACATGCAGGACGAAGCCAGCCGGAACATGGGAGCTCCTTGAAGCATGTGAACAAACTTTAGCTTGTTAACTGATTGCTGGGCAGTGAGGCAGAAATTAGTCAGCCCCTCGAGGGTTAAAAATAAATGCTTCTCTGCTTAGGAGAGAGAGGACCTCCACCTGATCCCAGGTTTTTGTCTTGTTATAGTTTGGGGGATATTTTGTAAGGGGAACAATGTAAAACAGGACACATAGTTTGTAAGGTTATTTATGATAATCACCCAAAGAATCATATACAAGAGAGTGCAGGAAATCTGTCCACACACTAAGACCAAGGAATCTAGCCGCGGGCCTGAATCTCATGGAAATGACCTGCATGAGTCCAGCTGCAGATCTAGATCTTATAACAGTGCCTCCCACGAGTCCAGCTGGAGGCCCAGAGCCCATAACAGTATCTCATGCAGCCCAGTTTCACGAATCTGCACTGTGAAGGCCCAAAGGTCAGTGGTGGAATCTAGGAAGTCTGTGCCAGTGGGATGAAGG